GCTGGGATGACAGGCGTGCCCCACCGCACCAGGCCAAATATCTTTCTTCTAAAGGCTGAATAACATTCCATCACATGGTTATGCCACATATTGTGAAATAAATCTCTATCTTCTTACTGATTCACCAGCTTTTCTCCTATTTTGTCATCTTAACAAAAACCATCCTGGTATTTCCTTTGATATGTCAGGTCCGGAAACAATACCGAAAGTGGTTTAGTGATGTCACAAAATCAAAGTCTAAGTCTGAGATACAGACGCTCTCCAGCAGGCTTGGCCCCGATTTAAAACTCAGCGAATGAGGTAAGAGAACCCATGACTTTCTCTAATGTTTTGCCACCCCGAACACCCCAAACTTCCTCTCCTTGTCTTAGCATAAGTTCCCTTTGAAGAAGAATATGAGGAAGAGCACTGTGCTACTCAGCTTTCTGTGACTATGACAAAATACTTGAGATAAACAGCTTACAAGGAGGAGAATTTTATTTGATGGTTTCAGAGGTCTTAATCCATAGTCACTTGGCCACATCACACTGAACTGTGGCAAGGCAAAACATCAGGGTGGGGAGTACATGGTGGAGCAATGAAGCTCACCTTGTGGCAGCTGAGAAAGAAAGAAAGAGAGAAAGGAGCTGAGGTCCCAATAGCCCTTTGAGGGCATGCTCTCAATGACCTAACTGCCTCCCATTAGGCCCCACCTCCTAAGGATTCCATCACCTCCCAGTAGCGCCCCAGACTGGGGACTAAGCCTTCCCCCACGTGGGTCTTTGGAGGACGCTGAAGGTCCAGACCACAACACGATCTTTCCTGATACCCTAGCTTGAGTTCCTCGTTCCCACTGAATTGTTCCTCAGTGACTCTTCTCCATTCACTAAGAGCACTTCAGCTGACTTTTGGAATCTGTGCAAAGAAATATGGGTTAAATATGTCACCAGCAATGCTACCATTCAAGTATATGCCACAGGGAGAAATTGACTTGCACAGATATAGACGAGTGATCAGCATCCCTCAAAACATGTCCCATAGAGAGATGGATGTGAGCCCAGGGGAATTGGTGGACCATTGAAAGGGCCCCAGGAGAGGGGACTGCCACCACCCAGATGTTCTACCTACCTATAGAGGTTGCATGGAATAATGGGACCTTCCTAGAGGGATGAAATGGTCTTGATAGAAAGGTAATACAAAAGAGAGCAAAATAATACAGTCCCTATCTTCGTGGAGCTTAGAGTACAGCTTTTCTCCATAGACAAAAAGCAGCCTCCAGGGAATTGAAATTCTGGAGTGGGATACTGTCTTAGTCTGTTTTCTGTTGCTATAACAGAATTACTGAGACTGGATAATTTATAAAGAAAATAAGGTTATTTCTTATAGTTGCAGAAGCTGGGAAGTCCAAAGTCAAGGGGCTACCTCTGGTGAGAGTCTTCTTGTTGGTGGGGAAATCTCTACAGAATCCCACAGAGGTGCAGAGCATCACATGGAGAGACAGAATAAGTGTACCAAAGAGTTCTCACCTTGTAGCAAAGCCACTCCCTCAATAACCCACAATCCAATAATCCATTAACCCACAAATAGATTAATCCGTTGATGAGAAGAGAGTCCTCATGATCCAATCACTTTACCTCTCAAATGTTCCACTTCCAAATACCATTAGCCTGTGTCTCTGGGAATTGAGTTTCCAACATGCACATTCTGAAGGACAAACATTTTGAGACGTGCACCCACCCTAGATTAGAGAACACATCTGCCCTAGGATTCTAGATCCTTCCATCCCCGCCTGGTGGCTGGAGCTGGCTTGCACTCACTCCTGCTCTTTCTCCATGTTTGAATTGCTAACCCTTCATCCACCATTAATCTAAAAATCTTCTGTGGGGACCTTTTTTTTTCAGAACAAGTGAAGAGATGATACTAAAACTAGAACATTCAGCTCCATATGGAAGTTCCTGACCATGGATCTCGTTGGCATCGTGAGGAATGAAATGTGACCTTTGTAAAAAGGAATGAAGTTGCGGCCCCGGGAACTCATTCTGCATATCACTGTGGAAATGTTTGACCTTCACTTCCCAAAGCGTGTGCTCCGCGTGATACTAAGCTCTCAATAGACGTGTGTTGATTGTATTTCTCTGTGTTGCGGTGTGTTCAGTCAATGCCTGGCCCTGGGCACCCAAATCAGGGTGGTTGCAATCACCTCCTTGACTTTTTGCAAATGGGGAGACCCCTCTCAAGGCCTTTCTTCGGGTTCTTACTCTGACTCCTCCTAAACTTGCTCTTTAAACTCATGTAGCCCTTTAAACTATCAACTTCTCCCAAAGCGTCTCATAAACAAGCAGCTTCTTCCTGGTTTCCCTTCTTTTTTTTTCTTGCGGGGTTGTTAAGGTTGTTGTTGGAGTTCCTTCACTTTCTTGCCCCCGGCCCCCCTTTCCCCACACCCCATCCGCCTCTCCTGCATCAATGCTCACACTCGGCCAAGGAGGCCCTTCCCGCTCCAGACTGGCCCCTCCTCCACGCTGTGGTCTCCCCTGCCCCCTCCTGCCTCTTTGGAGACCTTCCTCCAATGATTGCAGCCCCCTTCTCCTGAGTCTCACTTCTCCCCCACCCTGGGGCCTGGTGGCGCTGAGATATGCTAAAGAGAGGTCAGTCGGCTTTCTCTGTAAAGGGCAAGATCAATATTCTAGGCTTTTCAGGACACAGGTTCACACGTAGGTGCACACATAGCTTATGGTGTTCAGTCATCCTCGGTATCTGCAGGGGGTGACCCCAGTACACCCCACGGACGCCAAAATCTGCAGAGGCCCAAATTCCTTGTGACAAATGGCATTGTGTTTGCATAGAACCTATAACTTAAATCATCTCTAGATTATTTTTAATACCTAATGCAAAATAAATTCTGTGAAGGAGTTCTTGTGCTGGGTTGTTAAGGGAACAATGATAAGATTTAAAAGTCTTCGTGTTCGTGTGGCTGTCACTTTTTTTCTGAAGGGTGTTGATCAGCAGTTGGTCGGATCCATGGATGCAGAACTGAATGTGGAGGGCTGTGTGTGAAGAGACGGGTGTACGTAGCCCTTCAGAAACTGACAGACTACTCCTAGCTCATTGAGGGCCAAAAAAAAAAAAAAAACAGGCTACAGGAAGGTTTGGGCTGTGTGTTAAACAAAGAGAAATGAGAGAGTCTGGGAGATGGCCAGCCAGCTTAGCATGAGTCCTTTCCCTCCACTCCCCAGCCTCATGTAGCTCCCCTTGAACCAAAGTCAGCTGGGACACAGGGCAGCTAGGTGGGAGTGGGGTTGGCGTCTCTGGGAGAAACCACAAAGGGAATCTGGGGGTTGAAATGTTTCCCCCATGCACCAGGAGCAGAGTCTTGAGTTAGGGTGAAGAGTGTTCGGGGGTGAAAGTCCAGTACAGTGCATTCTGGAAGCATCTGGCCTCAGGGATCCTAGAGTAAAGCGAACACCACATGTGTGTGTGTGTGTGTGTGTGTGCGTGTGTGCGCGCGCGCGTGTGTGGACATTCTCTCTGACCCCCAGGAACCTCAAGGAGATCCCTGCTCCTAAATGTAGGAGGAAGTAAAGAAGTTGTGCAAGGAGAGGCACCTCTACCCACCTGCCTGGTGCACACACCTGTCTGGTGGCACTGGGACAGAGAACCCATCTCCCTCCATCACCAGGGAAGCCGCTAGTACTGAATGCTCTCAGGCACCAGATCTGACCCCGAGAGGAACAGGATGACACAGGAGAAGCCCAGCAGCTGAAGGGAACTGTCCAACACACTCATGTAGACACAGAAAACAGGACCCTGGTTACCAGGGGCTGGGTTGGGAGATGTTGGTCCTGTGATACACAGTTTCAGTTTGGCAGGAGGAATCAGTTCAAGAAATCTGTTCTACCACATGGTAGCTATAGTTATAGTTATGTACTTTTTTTTCCTAACCCAGAGACACTTAACCACTGAGCTATATCCCTAATCATTTTTAGTTTTTATTTTGAGACAAGGTCTTGCTAAGATGCTGAGGCTGGTCTTGAACTCTTGATCCTCCTGCCTCCTGGATCGCTGGGAGTACAGGTGTGTGCCACTGCACCCAGCTGTATGTGGACTTAAAAATTGCTGGAATAATAGATTTTGCCTCTTCTCACCACAAAAATAATGGTAATAAACATCTGAGGTAATGCACCTGTATTTAGATCCATGCAGCCATCCCACAACATGTACATATTTCAAAACGTCTGTTGTACATGATAAATACATACACTTTTATTTTCTTTATTTAATATATGCAATTTTACATCAATTTAAAATAAATAAGTTAATAGTTTCCAAATATATATGAGATCTGGGACCCTAAATTATTTTGTACCTCCAATAAAATCTTAAGAAAAGGTAAAAAGACTATAAGGAGACTTCAGTCCAGCACCCACAAGTTCTAGTCAACTAAATTCGAAATCCAGCTTCTACCAACGTGTGCGTCACTTTCACACCAAGGAGAGGTTGACACACTGGTCAGTGGAGCCGCCGCCCATCGAGTGGTGGTTGGTTCGGAGGTGCTGGCGGGAGGAAGGGGGTAGGGAAACCAAGGAGCCTGGTAGGACCCGGGGTACAAGGCGTGGTTTTGAGCAAACTACAGCTTACTCCCTCCAGAGACCTCCAGGACCTATCTAGAGCTCGCTCTTTGGAGGTGATTCTCCTGGGAGGTGAGGGAGCCCGGGTAGGTATAGAGCAAGTCCAGGCTTTGGTTGAAAGCTGTTCCTGGGAGCATTTTTCCACCCTGAAAATTCCTCCTGGCCATGTGGCCA